AAAAATCCCCACCACTGGTCTAGGAGGCCCAGTTAGTCTAAGCCAGCGTTTCTCAACCTTCCAATTAGTAACAATGAAAATACATCCTGCACATCAGGTATTTACATTACGATTCTTAACAGTAGCAAAATTACAGTTATGAAGTAGCAACGAAAATAATTTTATGGTTGGGGGTCACCACAACATGAGGAACTATATTAAAGGGTTGTGGTATTAGGAAGGTTGAGATCCACTGCCCTAGAAGAAGGATTACAGCTTAAGTGTGTGCAGGTAACAGAGTTTATGTGACATTAGTAGACAGTGGCCAGCACTGCTGTGACCATTCTCTACAGACTACTGGGCATGAGGGCAAGAGCCAATGTGCCTAATGTTTAACAGGAACTGCACACTAAGGCAGGTGAGCCATCTCCTTCCTGTGGGCGGAGTTCGGCCCAGAGAGCTGCTCCCAGGAAGGAAGGCAGAGGACTTGGGAGGCGATGAGAAGCGGACAGCGAGCCCAGAGCCGGAGTTTCAGCCAGGCCCTCTGCACAGAGGGCCTCCCCTCTCCAACTCTCACAACATGAACCAGCTCTGCGTCACTGCCTTCCAACCCCTTTGCCGAGAAACAGCAAATTAACTCGTGAGGGAAAAGGGACCATGGGCTGACCCGGGAGAGCAGTTCTCAGAAGTGGCAGTGGACAGCCGGGCAGGAGGCAGAAGCCGGCAGTTCCTTAGTGTCGGAGCCTCAAGCTCCCGGGAGGCAGGAAGGATCTAACACAGCTTAGTAATTGCCAGGTAGCCCTAGCCGGTGGCTCAGTGGATAGAGTGTCCTGGGTTCGATTCTAATCAAGGGCATGTGCCTGGGTTGCAGGCTCAGTCCCCAGCAAAGGGAGTACAGGAGGCAATCAATCATTCTCTCTCATCATTGACATTTCTCTCTCTCTCTCCCTTTTCTGAAATCAATAAAAATTAAATAAAATCAATGGAAAAATATTCGCAGGTGAGGATTTAAAAAAAATAATTACCATGTAAACCATTTTGGAAAATTATTTCGCTGTCTAAAAACTCAGAAATATAAAAGTAATAAACCTATTGGCAGTACTTAACTTCAATAAAAATTACAACTATTACTCAGATAAGTTGATACGTGATACTGACAATGATCTTTCAATAACTAACATTACTACTAAATGTTTTAAAATGGACATTATTTCTTTCAGATAGAGAGTCGGCCTTCAGAATGACAGAATGAAGTGTCCCGGGTTTGATTCTGATCAAGGGCACATCCCTGGGTTTCATGCGCAATCCCTATTAGGGGGTGTGCAGGAGGCAACCAATCATAGATTCTCTCTCTTCATTGATGTTTCTATCTCTCTCTCCCTCTCCCTTCCTCTCTGAAATCAATAAAATATGTGTGTGTGTGTGTGTGTGTGTGTGTGTGTGTGTGTATGCGCCATTAGTCAGACCTGAAAAATACATTATTGTAATAACACTTTCATAGAGTTTGACCAACTTCAGATTTGCAGATCAAGGCCTTTGTGAATGCTAGCCAATATTTAATTAGTGTCCCACTGTTAGCAGTTAAATAATATTAACTAAAACAGAGTTGAAAGATTCTGAATAAAGGCCTGAATCATCTGAAAGAAAACAAAACTTTCTCTAAAAAAGTAGCCTTTAACTTCAGAAACTTAGCCTTTAACTTCAAAAGATAGCCAAATATTTCAGGCAGTCCTAATGTGAACAATGGAGAGAATCTGTAGTATGCAACAGCACAGGTGGATACCGGGAAATATAGGTATCCATGGTTTCACCTTGACACAGGGGGCTCAGCAGGGGATCCCTAGGAACTACTGGAAAAGTGCTGGCTCAAGGTCACCACCCTCACGTAACGCCTACCAGAAAGGTGCTCACCTTACAGATGAAAGCTACGACCAAGGAGGGGTCCCTGCCACCCCTTCTCTGGCTGACACCTGAGAAAAAACAAATCTGATTATAACAACTGTGAAGGCTTCCCAGGTGGATGGCCATCGGATACCTAATTTGACTTCTCACACCACGAAACAGATAGACCCTTCCCTCCAAAGGCTGAGGAAGGCACTGGGGTTGTTTCAATCAGACCTGGTCTTCCCCACTCATTTGGGAATCCAAGTGAGTGAAAAATACAAGACTCCATCCAAAAAACTTTCAGAATGGCGAGTGAAAAGTGACACATTTACCAAGCAGTGGAGAAGTGAGAGAAACAAGCTGCAAGGTGCTTTATAAACAAGTATGAAAATATGTGAAATGACACAAGAGCCAAGAGGCCTGTGGAGAAAGTCTGGGCCGAGTCTGTGCCCGTTCCAGCCAAGAAAGGGTGCTACAGGACCACCTCAGGGCAGAAAGGGGAGCTTATCAGGCCTGCCCAGCACTGGACAGACCCTTAGGCAGTCCGTCCTGATACATCTACCCTGGGGATTTACTTCATTTCCCAGCAGGCTGTCACTCTGAAAGAAAAGGTGCAGATCCGCTCACTGATTCGACTGCTTTGTCAGCTTAGCAGTTACCATTCTGCGTTCATGACAAATGAATCTGCATTGATAAAAAGCCTGTAAGCCTCTGTATGAGTCCATTTGCCTCTGGGTAAAGAGCAGAGTCTGGGCGCACAGGGCCGCGGACTGGCTCTGTGTACAGCAGCCACTGTTCAGGGGAGCCTGGGTGAGGGCTCTCACGGAGAGCAGGGTGGCCATGGCGGAGGAAACAGTTCCGACAGTGACTGTTCTGTGTGACAGCATTACCATCTGGCAAGCGCTGCTCGTTTTCAGAGGATGCAGAGTCGGAAGACTGCTCTGGACTGCGCCTGTCTGGACTCTGTGCTGGCTGGTGATTTCCACACTTCTCTTCACCTGGTCAGTACGAGAAATGATCAAATGACACACCTGCAAGGGGAGCTCCCAGCAGAGCCTGGGTGTTCACACGTGGGAACGCCATTAAGCAGGCCTGCTCCTAGCACCGTAAACAGGCACCCCCCCCGCCCCGCCCGTCCTGGTCTCCAGGCCGCATTTACATGAGACTCCCTTTCCATTTCTGCCCAGCACAGAGCCCTGACTAAGGTGAGAACTTAACAGGGTTTGTTAACTAGAAAGCGTGCAGGCAGTAGGCTAGTTTACGCATTATCATCACTCGCAATAAACAGACTGGGCCTAAAAGTGGCCCAGCCCTGAGAAGGGACGTCATTGGGGAGTCAGTTAAATCTCAAGGTGAGGAAGCTGCCACACAGTGGTGGGTCCCATGGAAGCTGCCTGCTCCCGGCACACTCATCCCCATGGCCCGCACGCTGGGAAAGCAAGGCCAGAAAGCTGAGCAGGTTCCCACTGGCCACACAAATATATGAAAAAGCAAACTGCTCCGTGCTAGGGAGGGACACAGGGTGCCGCACAGGAACAGTGGGGCACACAAATCAGGAGGGGTGGGGTCAGGACAGGGAAGCCACCTGAGCAGGAGCGAGCCCGGCAAGGCGAGTTCGGGTCAGAACCTCACAGTGTGCACTGTACACTGTGCCTTTGCCGGGGGCACACCCCTCGCCTCCCTCCCTTCTTCACCCGCGGCCCCGTGCAGCCCATCTCCTGCCAGGTCCCGGCCTGTACCCCTTCAGCACTCGGCCAGCCATGTCGAGGAAATGTCTTGACTCCTTGGAATCTGCCTGGCAGTCAGTAAAACCCGATGGAGTGTGTTCCGTCAGACTCAAGGGCAACAACCACAGGGCCTGACGTGGACTGTCCCTCTCTAGGTCAAAACTACTTTCCCCTGGCCCTGGGACCAGAAGGGGCTCCTGTGACCTTTTGACATTTGACATCGCTTCTACAGTGGGGCCTTGACTTACGAGTGTCCCAACTAACAAGTTTTTTGAGATACCAGTTGTCTCTCCGCCGATTTTTTGCATTGAGTTGACAGAGTAATTTGAGTTAACGAGCTCCTTAACGAAGGAACTCGGTCTCAGAACGAATTAAACTTGTAAGTCAAGGCGCCACTGTATTAGGTGGCAGTGTGCTTAAAAACGCATCAGAATCCTCTCATCAAAAGAGGTACTTACATCTGTGGTAAATACACCTCGAGCAATAAATGCAAATCTCAGAGCAATGTGTTTTCAGCAGCACTCGATTACATTATATTCCAAAGTATAGTCATTATCATTACACACGAGTTAAACGTGTCTGCCCAGAAGATCAGAAGCTCCGTAAGGGCAGGAACCGTACCTTAATTTATCCAAGCAGTTTCCATTCTCACCCATGCCGGCCTCACCCTGGACCTATGCCCTCCTCCCAGGAAGTGTGCCTTCGTACTCACTGTATATGGGGACCTGGAACACCGTCATGGTCTCATCCTTATATTCGGGTGCGGAGTGGGGCCGCACAGCTTCGCGCAAAAGAGGAAAGCAACCGCATTAGTACAGACACGCGTGAAAGTCCGCTTTCCAGACCACCAACCACAAGCAGCTGAACTGCCTTGGGATTGTGGTGAGAATCTGCACTAAAATCAGAGTTTCTGGGCAAATTAAAATTCGGGGGAAAGAAGCAAAGTATCTTTTCATCAGTTACTAGGGCCAAATGAAAAGACATGATCACTGGTGACTATGCATTTGTAGAAAAGAAACTAATACTCCAGTTTAACACTAGAAAGACTGAAATTTAGTATATACCTATATTGCCCAAAAGCCGTCAAAATGACTGCATTGTGAAAGAATAACTAATGTGTAAAGAAATTTGTGTAAAATTAATTTTTAATATTTTTTATATTACTTACAGTTATATAACAAGTTATTCGACATTTCTTTCATGAATTTAGGGCGCAAAAGAAATAAAATAAACAACTTATTAGAACATGTATCACTGCATAAAGATTCGAATAACAAGTACTAGTTTACCTTATTGAGCAACTACAACTTATCAAGTATCGACAATTTATCATGTACTTGTATGTTATCATGTGCCGGTAATCGAAAAAAAATGAAAACTGTTATTTCAATACAGAGCCGAACTGGTCATATAAGAAATTTACTCAATTCAACAATAAGAGTCATTTGATTATTTTGTCGCGAGTGACAAGCTAGTGAAAAAGTTATCGGTCGTGACATTAATTCCACAGCCTGTATATGGCTCGACAAGTTTCAGAACAACGTGTTCACTGAGGAGCATTGACGATGGTTGTTGTTCATCTTTCCCCAAATAAGGAAAACCATTCAAAACATATTTGCTACTAACATCTGATGCAAGCCAGAATTTGATGCCAAATTTGTTGGGTTTATTAGGCATATACTGTGTAAACCTGCACCTGGCTTTTGACGGAAATAATTGCTCGTCAACTGTTATATTTTGCCCTGGTTGATAGCAAGCTTGACTATTTTCAATGAACTTGTCCCATATTTCCGAAACCAAGGCAAACTTATTTGTTTGTAGGTGCCTACTTTTTTCGGTTCTTTTGTCAAAACGAATAAATCGTAGGATTTGCTTGAACTTTTCTCTGGCCATAGTTTTTCTAAAAAATTCGAGACCCTACTTTGCTGACCATAAATAACTGAGTTTTAAATTTTTTGCCTCGTAGGCTCCACGAGCATATAAAATCCCAATAAATGCACGTATTTCCGGTAATGTTGTTGGCCAATCGTTCCTCAAAATTCGGCGGCCTTCTTCTTCTGTGCACTCTTTAAAGAATTTCCCCCAAGCAGTCAAAATGACTTCCTTGGGCAATCTAGTGTTAAGAAGTACAAGGTAACGTATAACACCGTGAGGCCGGAGAATCTGTGGTCTGCACTGTGAGAGCCAGTACCAGTTCTGGAATAAGATACGGGCATTTCCACAGAAGAGGAGCGTGAACACCCTGGAGGAGCACACCGCTTCCAGGGCAGGGGCTGCGGCATCCTCATCAGGCCTTTCCCTGGGAAGAGGCGCCCGCAGCACAGCCAAGCTGAGGCTCGGTATAAAAGGACAGGACAAAAGCCGCAGGTCCCTCTCATACCCTTCCCCGCCACTGCAAGAAACTCAAGGTTCATTGGCTCTGAGAACCGTCTCCAGCCTGTATTTGAGGGGAATGAGGTAGGGGCACAGAATGTGACAGACATTTTAAAAATGCACCTATGTTGAGGAATGATTCAGTTTAAGGTTTAATTTAGTCAATCCCCATGGATTCTAATTTGATAGACGGGGGCATATGTGAGAAAAAAATGGCAGATACTGAGTCAGAGGCAGGGACATACCCAGGTCTATTCCTTTCAATGGACCAGAAAATATTTTGATAGCTTCTAGGTATTTTTCCTACAAAAAAGAAAGGAAAGAAAAGTGAGCAGTTATGGTTGCATAGATGCAAGATGCAACAATGTATTTGAGTACGTAAGAGGCATCAACATGACTTATAATAAGTATTTAAACTTCCTCTCCACAAATCTTTACCAAGTGTCCACTATCTGTCAGATGCCAAGGATTTAGCAGGGAGGAGATGGGATCCCTGCCCTCATCCAGTGGAGACAAAAATGAAACAAATGGTAACACAAACAAGGACACAGTGGCAGCTGTGCTAAGAGCTCTTCAAGAAAGAAGCCTGGCTGGCATAGCTCAGTGGTTGAATGTTGACCGAAGAACCAGGAGGTCACAGTTCAATTCCTGGTCAGGGCACATGCCCCAGTTGCATGCTCAATCGCCAGTAGGGGGCATACAGAAGGCAACTGAACAATGATTCTCTCATCACTGATGTTTCTCTCTCTCTCTCCCTCTCCCTTCCTCTCTGAAGTCAATAAAAATATATTTTTAAAAAATTTTAAAAAATAAAAAAAGAGGAGAAATGCAGGGGGCTAATGTATAACTTGTCTGGAGAATCAGGGATGGCTCCCGAGCCAACGACCTTTTGGCTGAGCTCTGAAGGATCAGAACGACTCAGGTAGAGATGCAAGGGGGTAGAGGTACTCATGCATGGATGAAACCCTGAGGTGGGAAGAGCTTCGGTGGGCGGCTAGGAGTTGGTCTATGTGGCTCCTGCCTGGTGACTGGGATATAGATGCACGGGTGGGCAGAGCCATGGCCTGCAGGACTTATGGGCCTTATTAAGGTGTTTGGACTGTACTGAATGGAAAACCCTGGAGGGTTTTAGAATGGAAGTAACATGTCTGCTGTTCAGCCTTAAAGAGGTTCCTCTGGCTGCTATGTGGTAAGGTGGACTACAGGGAAGCAAGAACGGAAATTGGAAGCTACTACAGGACACAGGTGCAGTAAACAGGGATAATGAAGGCCCTAGTGAGATGGAGACAAATGGATGGATTTGAGGCATCATTTTGGAGACAATTAATAGTCCCTGGTGACTGGCAACCTTCCTCTTAAGAACTGGAAAATAAACTGCTATAGTCAACAGTTACAACACACACACTTTTTCAATGGTGAAGCAGATCTAAAAGGTATGAAGATGTCTCAAATGTAATAGGTAAGAATAAAAGATAGCACTTATTGTGTGCCTACTTGGTGCCAACCCCTTAGCGGGTTTTTGTTTTTTAGTATTTTTTATTTTATTTATTTGTTTTTAATTTTTAGAGAGGAAGAGAGAAAAACATCTAAGTGAGAGAAACATCAATCAGCTGCCTCCTGCACGCCCCCTACAAGGGATCAGACCTGAAACCTGGGCGTATGCCCTGACTGGGAATTTTTATGTGTATATTATTTTATTGATTTCAGAGAGAGGAAGGGAGAGGGAGAGAGAAATAGAAACATCAATGATGAGAGAGAATCATCCATCGGCTGCCTCCTGCACACCCCGCACTGGGGATCGAGCCTGCAATCCTGGCATGTGTCCTGATCGGGAATCAGATCGTAACCTCCTGGTTCACACCTGACCCGGAATTGAACCGGCATCCCCAGGTGCACGGGACGACACCCAACCAACCGACCCATACCCGCCAGAGTTGATTTGGCGTTTTACATGTGCTATCTCATTTCTTTCTTTTTAAAAAATTTTTACATTTTTTTTTATTCATTTTAGGTAGAGCAAGGAAGGGAGAAACATCCATTTTGTTGTTCCACTTTTTTATGCATTCAATGGTTGCTTTTTGTCTGTGCTTTGATCAGAGATCAAACCCACAATCTTGGTGTGTCAGGATGATGCTCTAACCAACTGAGCTACCTGGTCAGAGCTGTCATTTACTCTTTAATAACTCTATGAAACATAATAGCCATTTTATAGATGAAGAAACTGAGGTAACTTGTTCAAGATGATATAGTTAGTAAGTTTTGGACTCAGGCCTCTTAATTTTGAAAGGTAAAGTGTTTACTTCACTACTGATTACCTCTGGAGGCAGAAGCCTGATTTACAAAAATGAAGATTCTTGTTATAACTTTGAAAAAAGGATGGGTTCGGTTTGGAAGCTCAGTCAGGAGACTCACCAGTTGTGGAGGTCCGGAAAGCACACACTTTGGGAGCCCGGTTTCCTTTAGAGTAAGAATCATTCCTAGAAAGGACAAGCGCAGTCAGATCTCAGCACCCTGCCCCGCAGGCACTGCCAGCAGGACGCCTCGTAACCAGCTCCTTTTCCATTTGTCCTCATTCAGCTTCTAAGGACCAGGGAGCACCTGTGCAGCAGAAGGGACACCATACACCCCTCAAGCGCCTCTCCAATGGGCAGGGCTGATACCAGGCGAGGCAAGAGGCGCCTGGGGCACAAAACCATTCAGCTGAAGGGAAGGTCTTAAATTCTGCAACCCAGGGACCTCCTGGCCCCACTCTAGTCTCAGCTCTGAGAATGCAACTGTGCAACACTCCTTCCTACCCACACCACAAAGCTTAGAGAATCTGGCTGCGACACAACGTTGACCTTTGCAGTGGGTGGACGTGAAGAACGGGGTATTACGGATAGTGGGTATCTGTCTGGAGCCCCTGTTCTCCATGGTAAATGCATTTACTGTAATCTCCATCACTACACCCTCCAGTTCACTGTCACTTATCTCCCGTCAAGCGACTCAGTAGACGAGTGGATGGTAACACCGAGGGCAGTATCCAGGTTAAATGCTGCCCTCCTCATGAACGGCTTCCGACGCTCTATGCCAGTGGTTCTCAGCCTTCCTAATGCTGCGACCCTTTGATACAGTTCCTCATGTTGTGATGACCCCCAACCATAAAATTATTTTCGTTGCTACTTCATAACTGTAATTTTGCTACTGTTACGAATCGTCATGTAAATATCTGCTATGCAGGATGTATTTTCATTGTTACAGACTGAACATAATTAAAGCACAGCGATTAATCACAAAAAATATGTAATTATATATGTGTTTTCCGATGGTCTTAGGTGACCCCTGTGAAAGGGTCGTTCGACCCCCCAAGGGGTTGCGACCCACAGGTTGAGAACCGCTGCTCTATGCAGAGCCGACTGGCCGGGCACACAGAGAATTCCAGCTCCCCTGGACTCAGAAGCTAAGCAAGAAAGGGCAAGGCAGCCTAAAACCCCACAGCGTCCCTCCAGCCCCGCACCCTGGAAAGAACAGACTCACCACACAATCCCCCAACGTTACTCCAGTGCATTCGGGTCAGGAATATGTTGTCCAAACGAGACACCTTCAGCCTAAGAAAGAGAAGACATTGGAGCAGGACAAAGCGGAGGCACCAGGGACCCTTTCTGCAGCCACAAAGACACTGCTGCCTCTCACTTCAGCTTTCAAAGCCCATGATCATCTCCCCCCAAAGAAGGCCGCTGACTCACTTGTGCTCCTGCATGAGTCGCTGGACTCCTTCCCCGCAGTTGAAGAGATACCTGCAGGACGAGCATTACGGAAGTTACTTAGGAGATTCTATTTTGTAAGATTCCCACCACCGTTTAGATGTTTCAGTGCACACTCATGCACACTCCGGGGGGGTGGGGGGGGGAACACCCAAAAGCTGAAAACCCATGCTGGACTAGCCGGCCGCGTTCTGCTATTGGGATGCTGGATGTGGGAGGCTTTGGCGGAAACCCGGCGGGATCGGGGGCGGGGAAGCGGTGCAGGCTGGTGCTGGTGCCCCGAAGGCCCTTTCCCCCTCGCAGACCCGACGACTTCACACACCCACCCCGAGGCCCCGCCCGGGCGCGCAGGGCAGGAGGTGCGGCTCCGATGGTGCCAAGGGGGAACTCGGGGGCCCAGGGTTGGAGGGAGGACGCTTAGACCCGAGCCTGAGGTTCTGCAGGGACCCCGGGCACGTGACGGCGTGGGATCAAGAGACCCACGATGCCCCACCCCACAACCAAAGACAAGTTCGCAGCAACGCGAAACCCCCGTGTCAGCAGGGCGCCGCGGCCCACGGAGGTGCCGCGATGCTCCCGGGCGCGCGGGGCTCGGGGGGGGACGGGCTCCGGCGCGACCCACTGACCGGTTGTACTCGGAGAAGACATAGAGCGCCGCGCCCGCGTCCCTGCCGCCCGCCGCCACCACCTGCAGG